GATATGTACTTTGAGTAGGTCAACTCAATTTGAAGTTTAGAGCACTCACACTCAGATTTCATTTGCAGATACTACTCGAAGTTGACCATTACGGTATGTAATCTCATCAGTGCACACCCACCACAGGGAAAATCGTGAAAAGCCTGTGGCCATTCGAGTTTGATTTCATCATCCCACAAGTAGAATATCACCACGAGAGAGAGTATTGTGTGGGTCATGTTGAAATTGGCGCATTAATACGGAACGTAATAAGGTTCTATTATTACTAGCCACATTCATGACAACTCATACATTGACAAGCCTCCCAATTATTTAGCATAAACAAGTGAATTGTGTCCTTCACTTAGATGTAGTAATTAGTTTAAATAGCGCTCTGATACTAAGTGGGTTTAATCAAGAACTCTCCACTATAGTTTTCAGACTCTTCAATCTCCCAACTTGCTTCATTAGGTGATATTAAATACAAGCCTAACAGCTTACGCTTCTCTATACAACTTCCATTACAACTTCCATTACAACAGGTCACACTGGGTTCGTGTTAAAGTTATGAGCTTGAGCGAAGATGGAGGTTGTAGTGGAATCAGTGTCAACAGTTAGACCGATACAGTAAGTCTTGTATAAAGTTGTGAGAGGAAGATCCGAGTGGAAACAATTGTATTTAGATGTATGGTTCAGAGTAAAACCGAGATGATAAGAGTGAGATTTCGTGTTTGCATATCTTATCAACTGTGGTTTTTGACCAGTATTTATCAATCTCCATGGATCGTAAGTTATGATCCATGTAGATGTAGATCTATGTACATACACATATATGGGCCAGGAATACAAAGCTAAATTCATGTGTATTGGTAATAGATACGAGAAAACTATAACCTGCATTTGAGACGTAGTCATCCGCTGGAATGCTAGTATGAAATAAACGCTAATGCACATTAAACTTTTGGTGAATGATGTATTGATAACAGTGATATAGAATGGGGAATTTGAAAGTCAAATTAGCCGGACTTACTAATAAGTTATTCTTGGCATTCCAAGATATATCATATTTCAACAGACTCATGGGCTGCAGAGTTTTACCCAGGCACGCTGTTGGCAGTAAGTCAGGAGAGAGAGCGTAGACAATGACATGGGTCATACTAGAGTATATAAGTAGTCTATGTTCTGTCTCATGAACAGTATCGGAAAAGTACAGGACACCTGCCAGCAATCATCTTACCAAATTTCAAACCATCTGAACAAATATTGTGACACATTTTAAGTAACCATATTCCCATTCAACTCATAACCTTAACACATACGTCCCGAGTGCGCTAATCACGCCTACTGTTGCATTTACAATTGGATATTTACATACTACAGTGTACCTTGGATCATCATGGTAGATGAGAGGTGGCTGGTTATCACTAGGTTCGACAGACACATGAGACTAGCGGGAATTTCTCCCTTAGATGTATATATAATGTTGAAAGCCCTAAGATTACTGCCGAGCTCGCCTGTCTAGGGCGACGCACACTAGGATATCTATTAGCTGCGCGGTCTGGACATGGCGATTTCGCAGACTACCACCGATGCTTTCAGCACGAAAACCCCATTCTAACCTGCTCATGCAGAGAAGAAAAGTCCCCCAACCACTTTTTCTATTGCCACCTTAGGCAGTACCAGGCACAGCTCCACAGAGCACAGAATCCTTGTCCCAGCATATCTTGGGCTCTCGCTTCCGCAGAGGGAGTTCACGCATTTAATAGCTAGGTGCGTATCACAAATTTCTTTGGAAAAGCACAACAAGTCTGACCGAAGGGAGTCATGTGATTCAACTAAGTTTCCCCTTCCATATTTTTTATTTCATCTATTTTTCATTCAATACAATCTAAATACATGAGAGTTGAAGGGTGACCAGTAACCATATATAATTTAATCTTCAAGCGCAGGATGATAAGATCCTGGCTTTCATTTGCTCTGTTGGGTTTGTTCAGGCGCCAACACGTCGGGTACTTTTATTTAGACTGAGCTAGCCGGCACGTGAGTAGCTCGCGTGCTGTGCGCGGGCACGACGTTAAGTATTATAAATAAATAGTGTTGAAAGTCATGCACAAAATCTGTAATTGTATCACGTGTCACGCTTAGTATTCCACACTTTCCGTAATTGTTAAGTTTTGTTTGTTTTGATTTTAAATTCCTAAGCTAAAGCTCTAGGTCCACTATTGGTACAAGACTGGTGGAGCCGGTGGGGTTCTCTGCATTCAGGCCCAACTCATTCCAACTGCAGGAACCTCAACAAAAGTAGATGAATTTAACAACAAAACTTAAATCAAAACTAAATTCAAAGCGTAAATCAAAAAATCAAAAAATCAAAAAATCCGGAAAAATCCGGAAAAATAAAAAATTATTTAAAAGAATTTCATATGTGGTTCTGATCCCACGCTTCTCGCCCGTTTCCTTCCCTGTCACATCTTCCAAGTGACTGTACCTAATCTCCGCTGAGAGCAAAAGATGAGCTCTCAGGTAACATTTGCTGTTGGTCGGTTTCCTGCTTTTTGTTGTGAAACTTGTTGTAGACTTCACCAAGGACTGCCGAGTCCTCAAACGTCTTCTTCGGTTTCCAGAATTCCGAAACCCGATCCCTCTGCCATGGAGACGTCCTTCGCAGAGGCGTTACTCGCCTCTTCGTCCTTTTTATATGCAGCTTTGACACGGGCAAAGTCTGCATATCTTTCTTGCTCGACTTTGCGAATTGCTGCGAGCTGTTCCTTGGTCACCGGTCTATCTTTTCTGGGTCTGGCTTGGCAGTGCCGAGAGTCCGATCGGTGAGGTCCCCCACAACTGCGACATTGTGTGAGGGCCTTGCACCCCACTTCCGAGTGCATCTTTGAGCCGCAGTTCCAGCAAGCTGGAGCGCGGGAGCATCCGCGGCTGGCGTGGTAGCCAAGACAACGTTTGCACTGTTCGAGTTGTTGACGAGGTCGGAAGAGCTTCGCAGCTCCGGAGTCATCGAAGAGGCGAAATCCAGGTCGGGGCGTGGATTCGCGAGGGAAGAGCGCTTGCCAGTTCTGGTACTGCGCTCCTGGTTTGCAGGTCCCATGAGGACGATCAAGAAAAGGACCTGATTTGGTCACTCGCGTGATTTCGTCAGCAACAATCTTTGCCGTTATCTCGATGGGACCTGCAAGTGTGTTTATTGTCACCGGTACGGTGGCAATTTGCAAGGCAACCAGAATTGACGCTGGTTCCAGTTTGATTCCAGATTCGCTCCGTGACATGGAGGAATCTAGCAGCTCTTTCCGAGCGAGTTCGTTCTTTGCTGTCAGTGCAAAGCCTGTTTTGACCCGCTGAACCAACGTGATGTTGTCGGCAGCGGTACCAAGCACCTGTGACACAGCTAATCTTACGCCAGTTGGTGACAGGAGTCGGTGGGGGTGGTTAGCTTTGAAGCGTAGAAAAAGTCTCGTGTCGACTTTTGTCCTCGGATTGGCACTTTTTGCTTTTGGGGCGGGCGGTGCTGCCTTTGTAGTCGACGGCCCGGCGCTGCGGCCTAGACCTGCACGGGCTACTGTGGCCCAAGTCTTCTTTGGTGCCGGAGCCTGGGTTGTCGTAGGGTTAGGTACCCTAATTTCATGAGCCCTCGGCGGAGGAAGGTTGATGGGGCGCGCAGGGAGAGCTGGTGGAGTGCTCCCTGGGCCTGATTGTATGAACTGGCCAATGGCCGCTCGAAGGTAGACTTTGATGCCGTCTACAAACTCTTTTTCGTCGCCAATCGAGAGAGGCGAAAGTGCTGCTTCAACACTGCTTATTGCAGTGGAACAGATTGATAAGCGGGCCTTGATTTGCGTCGTGCGACGCTTCTCGGCCTCTATCACTGTTTGCAGCTCCGGAGGATATTTCGGTGCTAATGTTGAATCTGTGCCTTTTGAAGCTGGTATAGCGAATTTTCTTGCAGACGATTCTGCACGTTCGGTCGTCCTTTCTCTGACGACCTCCTTTCCTTTCCTGGAGCTGCTTGCCTCGAGGGCCAGCTCGGCGGGTTTCGCAGTCTGTTGACTGTTTGTTTCTGTTCTGATCGGATCAGAATCAGTCATCTCTTGGTCGGGAAGGGTAGAAGACTTCCCTGGGACAAAGGCCTCACTTGCAAATAAGCTTGATAATTTTTGCGCGAGGCCAGGTGTTTTTGCAGGAGCCCTCGGGCGGGCTCTTGCGTTGTCCAACATTGAGTTGGGGAGCTTTTTTCGAACAGGTGGCATGATCAAAATGCCAGTGACTCGATGAAAATTTATTGAAGGAATGCGACGAGCGCGAGAGGGAGGGAGAGGAGGAAAAGGTGAATATTCGAAAACTCAAATTTCAAAAAATTGTGAAGTGTGTAGATAATTGTAAGAACAAGTAAAGCAGCACTAATAGTTGTAGTGATAACACACATAATAAATCATATCTATATTTATATTTTAAGGAATCTGATTTCGAGAGCAAGTATTCACACGCAGCTGAATACTTAGCTGGTATGCAGTATACACTTAACTCCACTGTCGCATAAATTACAACATATAAGTCCAATGTTCTCATTGTTGTAAAATATTAAGTCATCTTATCTTCATTACATATATCCATATAATATTGTACAGAGTATATTTCCAACATTTAGCTTAGGTGGGGACCTAAGCTGAGTTTGGGGGCGTAGTAGGGAGAGTGTTCCATGTTATCTTGTATCAAGCAACTAAGTTTCACTTGGCCATATTATATTGGAGCCAGGAAGACATGTGAGACGGCGAAGTACAATTGCCAAGTGAGAGAGTCAAGCTAGATGGCAAAGATAGCAATGGGCAGTGGCAGAGCAATATGTCATGCTCACCAACGGAGTACGTACTGAATGAGCTAGAAGGATGTATAAATAATCATTACCCATAGTTGTGTTACTTCTCTCTTCATATGGTTTAATCTTTCTAAAAGCACACTACAATCAACTTGCTTTTGTGACACCCAGCTTCCACTACATTTATCCGTGAAACCCGTCACACTATGATATCACAGGGGGCGTAGTCTTCTTCGCTATTAGCAAGAATACTGCGAGTGACCACGCCAGCTATCACATAGTCTGTGCTAAATACGAGATAATCTTGCATGGCCCCGGCCGCTAGAAGATTTTAGCCTTTTGTTTAACATCATGAATCTTGGGAAAGAAGCATTTTGCCGGACAATATCATTACCTGAAAGAGGATAATATAACTGTTCTCCTGGGATGTTAAATTGATGGAAATCGAAAGCTTTGGGGTGGTAATCTCTCATTTGAGGGTTACCTGCCACTCGCCTGATCATCTGAATTTTGTCCATAAGAGTAGGTTTGTTGTATGTTATAAAACTTGGACACAAAAATTCGAAGTAATTATTTGGGTTGGGCACCCGCAATAGACCTGGATATTTTACGTCTGACATGGCTGTCACTGGTGCTAAAATATAGAAAAGTGTGGTAGCGCCGCTGATGGAAAAGAGCTTCATCGTCAAATAGACTGTTGTTGTATTTTCTTTATAATCTCGCGCTATAAAATGCTAAGATGTGAAGGGTGGTAAGGCACAAAAATTCGAAATGACTTGTTGGCAAATTTAGAGTACAAATACTATTCATTAATTTTTAGCCAAGTTGAAGCTTGGCAGCCTCAATTAACCAAGTTTGATGAAGATTATGAAGCATTACTTACTAAAATTTAACCATGCAAATTCCTTCTTATTCCACCTATCTAAAAGTCTAAATGGCAGACCCACTCATCCTATACAGCCAATGGTCATCCAGAAAATTGACTTCATCGCTAATCATTGAGATGTAGTGGAGAGGGGAGGTCTTCCATTTGGCATTTATTTGTGCATCACAGCGGTAGAGACAACAATTCAGAAACTGGTCGAGTTCTAGCCCTTTGGACTCTGGTGCATTGGTATAAATTGCTACAGCCAAGTATGAATGGTCTCGAGAGAGATACATGGGACATGGTGTGATGTAAATGTTGATTGGAAATCCCTGCAACTCTTTTTATCTATTACTCAACGTCGTGCCTGAGGCCCCCAACGGGGCTCTCTGGTCTCACCGACTCTATTCTTTCTAGTAACTGAAGGTGTACTTTGCCTCTCACTGGACCGCCAAGGCTATGCTGACAACATTAGCTTTTTTCTATCAACATCTTCATACGCTTGCTGCGTAGACCTACTTCTGACTCAGTTTGCCATACATGCAAGTGAGGGCGTGAAAATAGCGTTCCTTTTGAAACAAAAAAACGTGGCTTACCCGTCTAATTAAGCCTCTTTACCAATATAATGAAACTAGGCCGAAAAATGTGACCCATTTGGCCAGCAAAGTCGAATTCTTCACCTTCCAGTGGTGCCGGTGTAATCGCTCAGTATGCTCTGCATATCTGGGATAGCCAAGAAGAATCGGATCCTTCGCAACGACAGCTTGCTAAGCGTGGCCCAGTCAATTTCGATTGACACATGGGCTAGTGTTATATTGACTAGGCTATATAGTGTTAAGGAATGTGTCAGGAAATGCTGCTTAGTCAGCTAGTTGGTCAAGTGAGAGGTGTCCACATCATTAGTACATAACACCTTTATCACTACACACCCTTAGTCCTATATCCATACATTCCTCACATATCGCATATTACTATCTGCATTATCTTACTCCCGTGACTATACTTTCTCAATATCCCAACAGGTTATGAGACCGGTGTCTAATTATTCATCGGCTTCCTTTTTCGAACAATCCGCAGCAATGTCTTCATTTACTACAGAAATAAAAGACACCTGCAATCATGACGGTCTTCCACAGTACAAATCTAATTGGGGGAACATTGTGAATCTGAGCCTCGGAACATTCACAGAGTGGCAGATTACTTGCGAGATTGCTTTAATAAACGCTGGCGTTTTAAGTATCGCTGATGGCACTTGGAAGAAACCTATTGCTAATTATTACACGCATGCTTCCCGTCCTAATACACAATCATCCTCTTCCGGTGCAGCACACAATGAAATTGATGCCGATGACAATGAATTTCGAATACAGGAACAGAAATGGTTATCCAAAGCCCGTGACACGCAGATAATCATATCCAACTCCATCGAAACCCAACTAATGGAGCAGTCGCTCGGATTTCTGAGGAACATTGATCCCGCTGGGTTATGGAACTTCCTCCTCCGAATGGACCCAAACAGAGATCATACAACCATTGCAGAATTGAGATCCAAGTTTGCCTCCATGAAGCTTGATCCGAGAACAGACACAATCCAGTCTCTTGTTCTACGCCTCAATAATCTCAGAGTCAAGCTATCAATGACCTCTAGACCGATCACCGAGGAAGATGTCAAGGAGCAGTTAATTGCATCTCTTCCTAAGGATAACTCGATTTGGTCTACGGCTCGATCACACGCTCTAAACATGGGTAGAAGTCTAGCAGAAACAATTATATATCTTCAATCTTGCAAGTCTAACATTTGTTATACACAGTCCCCTCAACCACAATCTGCAAATGTAGCACGCAGCAATTATAGAAAAAGAGGACGTGGTACATATCGAAGGGGACGCAATACAGCGCACTTTGATTGTCGTGATCAAGCTCGCGGAGAGCTTAACCGAAAAGGAAAGCAAAGAGGAATGGCAACAGACGAAAAGGAGTGTTTCTTTTGTGGTAGAAAAGGTCATGTAGAACGCGATTGTCGCCTTAAGCAGTCCCAAAGTAGAGCAGCCAAGGAAAAGAATAAAGCTAGGGGAGATGCCGACGCTCGTTATGTTCAAGTTAGAAATATTAATGCAAATGATTCACCCTACCTGTCTTATTATCTTGAACACAGTCACACAGCTTGCTCAGAGCTAAATATGGATAAAAGTCTGGCCCTACTCAAAATAAAATCAAGTAAAAGTAAAATCCGAAAATATAAAACAAATTCCAAAAATATACAGAGCTTGATCACCAGCGGAATTCATAATCTCCTTAAATTTATACGGCTTCCGGATTCTAATGCAACAGCTCTCCCAACTGTCACAAAACATGCATTACTCACCAAGCCCAGAGAAATTCTCACAATAATCGACTCCGGAGCGTCAGAACATTTCAGTGGTATGAGAGATGATTTCTCTACGCTCAAAAGATGGAGCAGTCCAAAGTCTGTCCAAATTGCAGATGGAAAAGTTATTCAATGCGAAGGCTATGGCAATATATCTTTTAGGACTAGTGATAAAATAATTGAATTAAGAGAAGTCTGGTTTATTCCTGAGTTTGGTCAAATGCGGCTTCTGTCCGTCTGGGCCTTCAATAAGAGGGGCATTAATGTAAAGTTTGCTGATGGCCATTGTCAAATAACACGAAACGGCTCAATCTTGTTTGAAGCAGAAGGAGAGGATGGTGTCTTCAAAGTTAAAACAAAATCAATACCTCAAGCAACATCAGCCACAGAAGTTCAGCAACAAATGCCACACCAAACAGAGACTGAATGGGACATTTTGCATAGAAGAATGGGCCATATTAACATCAAAGATATTGACAAGGTTCTGAAAACAGGACACACTGGACAAAAAGTTCCTAACAAGAAAAGATCAATTCCGATTGGATCAAAATCTTGCAAAGCATGTTTAGCAGGAAAGATGAGGGAAAAATTTAATAAGAAATCTGACAATTGTTCAAGCACCATCCTTCGCCGAGTTCACTGCGATATCTCAGGAATCCAGTCCATCTCAGTTAGAGGACATCAGTTCTACTTCCTCATGGTAGATGATGCAACAAGGATGTGCTGGGTCAGGTTACTAAGAACGAAAGAAATGAATGAGGCTCTAGTCACATTCAAGCAAATAAAGGCCGAAGCTGAATTGCAATCTGGCAATAAAATTGTCTACATGAGGGCTGACAAAAGCAGGAGTGAATTTGGTACTGCCCTTCAACACTACTTGAAAGAAGTAGGTATAAAATTTGAACCAAGCCCACCATACAAACACTCAATGAACGGAGTTGTTGAAAGATGGATGGGTATTATAGCAGTCATAGCAAGTTCTATGTCATATGAGGCACAGCTACCTCACCAGCTCTGGGATTACGCTGTCGAGCATGCGGCTTGGATCAAGAACAGGGCTCCCACATCCGCGCTACCTTTTGCTGATAATGACGCCCCAGAAAAATTCACTCCCTACAGCGCTTATCATGGAAAGCCTTCAGATCTAACCAACAAAAGAGTTTTCGGGTGCAAAGCAGATGTGCTTTACCCTTCCGAGTTAATTCCTCAGAAATGGCAACCTCACATTAGAGAAGGAAAATTTATCATGATAGGAATGACTTCGACGAAAATTTGGAAGCTACTTGATACGCTTACCCTAAGAGACACAATCTCTGCAGATGTTGAGTTTAATGAATATGAATTCCCTAAAATTGACATCTCACTCTTTACTCTACCTGATAGACCAGATGTGCTAACACCTAGACAAGTACCTTTAGAGCGAACAAAGATGTACCAGCCGCAGCTGATAGAAGCTAGACAGAAAGTTGTTAAGCAAGCGCGTAAGAAGTATGCTGCAATTCGCCCAATTGAGGCAATGAGTTCGGGCGAAAATGACTCTGAATTGCAAAATCCTGTAACTCGCCTGCGAGAGGCTGGAGATGCGTCTGATCAACGCTATATACAGAAGGCTCCCATTAGAATGGACGAGCAAGAGACCTACATAGGTTCGGTAGAGCTACAGACTCCCGTAATAAGACGTGAAGGAAGCTGCCACGAGAATGCGTGGAGGAAGCTCTCACGCAAACCCATGGTCGAGGCTAGTCATCCTACTGCAGTAGTGGAAGAGGCCACCATGAGGGTAGTAGAGCAAGAATATCTAGGAGGGCGAATGAACTTCAAAGAAAGTACTCCTCAGATTATCCGAGAAGCCATCGAACCATCAATTGGGCAGACTCCTTGCTCCCCGCCAAAATCAAAATTTGGCAGACCGCTGAGAAGAGTGGCAAAAGCTGTGTTCAATCATGTCGTTACAGCAAATGCTATTTCTGCACAAGCAGTCCATATTAATGCCGGTGAGTCGTCATCAATTCAAGTGCCCACTCCTCCATTTGAATCTATCACTGTTGAACAGGCCATGCATGAAGATTCCAAATTATGGAAAGAGGCAATAAAATCAGAATTGCGCTCTCTGCAAGCCACCAACACATATACGATTTTGACTGGGTCTCCACCTCCTGGAAAGAAAATAATATCCAGCAAAATAGTTCTTAGAAAGAAGTTCAGAAGTGACGGTAGCTTAGACAGACGAAAAGCACGAATTGTTGTCCGTGAATTTGAACAGCAGTACACTATCAATTACTTCGAGACTTTTGCGTCGGTAATACAGTACAACACACTCCGAATACTTCTATCAAAGGCTGCAGTAGACAATCTTGAAATTGAAGCGCTTCATGTGGATACAGCTTTTCTAAATCCAAAATTAGAAGAAGAAATTTATATGGAGATACCTGATTTCTTTTCGCTACAAT